TCTCTAGGATTTTCTCTAAAAAAAGAATGGCATCAATGTGTTACCAACCTCTGATTAAAAGAAAGGTATGATTAAAAGAAAAGTATGAGCTTTACTTCAATACTTTATTTTCAAGAGCAAAGCACAGATAGTCCCTTTCAAGGAAAGGTTTCTGATGCTTTTGGTCCTTAGTTACCATTGCCTTAGAAAGGCAGAATTTGACCTGCAACACTGTCAAATTTCCATACAACTCTAATCTTAATACCCCCGTACTTATCCCTCTACTGCACCCCCCTTCCCCTCACAAATACGCAGGGCCCCAGACAGCAAATTCCTTATTCTTAGAGCCAGGTGGCTATAAATTTGACATGGCTGTAGCTGGTACAGCTCATGTCTCATTCACAGAGTAGTGTGACATGGCAATAACAGCCAGGTATAAATTGACACACATATGCATAAGACTTTCAAAAAGGTTTCACAGGCTCACCTTTGTTCAGTTCACCCATCTTGAGTCAGCTCTGTCCTTACAGGTGATCCTTCCAGAAGCATGTAAATCCTGAGATTAAGAAGTAGCAGTTTCTGCCTTTGTCCATTATTACTGCATTATTTTACAGTATAAAAATCAGAGCCTGGCTTTATTAGATTCTATCCTTTGCCCCTCACCTTTCTTTCAGAGTGGAAGTGAGAAAGGAAAGACAGTAATTAAAAAAAACCAACCCTAGAAATCAAAAGTGTAACGTTTCCCGCTGTTAACTTCATGAATTTAGATTTTGCCAAGCAGAAAAATACATATTGAAACACAGCCAACAACTATAATCTTAACTCTTTTTCTAACTTAATTTTGCTTTAAGGTTCTAACTGCAGGTGTTTGGGGTTTTTTTCCCTCAGCAGTTTAAGACTGCAAGCTTGTTGCATCAGACCAAGTTTGCTGAGCTACTGAGTTCCATTACACACACACAAAAGTACAGTATCACCTCATAAAACACTTCCAGGCTTCATCATCTCAGTAAAGATATGACAAGGCTGTTTATCAGTAGGTAATAAGACAGATAATTTAACTGTACAAGCTCTAATTGGTCTAATTCACTAACTGACCTCTCACCACTTGATTCACTAGTACAATTGAGCTCTGATAAAGCCTTTAATTGTAAATTGCACACAGCTGTGAGCTGCTTCTCACGCTGGCACAAAAACACTATCATCGACTGTTTCATCTCTGCGACCTGCTAATTTGGAGCATATGTAACTGTTTTTAATGCTGAAGGCTTGACATACCACAAACAGCAGATGTTGCAGCTGCCCCTGAGACGCTTTATTTAATTCAATTACGTCTTTTGGAGATATGTAAAAAAGCTAGGCGAGATGAGAGAGGGCAGGAGAATGTTAAAAATGGAGCCCCTGGTTGAGGCCCAGGTGGCTCGATAGGCAAATGATTGGGTGAATGTCTAAATGATCTTTTTAATTGAGTAGACTGACGGCTAATCAGGGTCATGAAGTGTTATCACACTGATGAGCTGAGTGGAGCCCTGGGCTGCTCTGCAATTAATGCTGCTTTTGTGAAAGGAGAAAAAAGGAAGATAATGTATACCATCTGGCAATTGTTTATGATAAAAGCAGCAGTTTGCTACAAATTCAAGTTAAATGCTATTCATAACATTATTTCTTCTGCTGCTGTGGAGGGCAAGGACATAGAGCCCAGGCCTTTGTCTGACTTTCTCATTCTCTTTCAACAAGCAAAACATTCATTTGCTTCCACGTGTGTTATTATTAATTACTTGCCTGCTTGCTAATGTATGGCCCAAATGATGCTCTTTTTGAAATGCCATGAATAAGTCCAGCAATCTAGATTTTGGATGCTTCATGCCAAAGCATCCAATGAGATAAAAAAGAAGCTAAGGTCTTAACTTGTAGCTAAAAGCCAGAGAAAACAAGTTAGTTGTTTTTTTAGTGTTGGGTACCCATTCCCCTGCCCCCTTCCCCTGTACTGTTTAATTTTGAGGAGATTGAATCTTTAAAGGACACACCTAAAGGTTCAGAAAAAAAGCATGGTTTTGATAAGGAGGGGAAAATTGAACCTGATGAATTTCTATGTGAAGGTGTTTCACTAGGCCTAAGAAGGTTTGGCTTTAAAAAAGAAAAAAACAGTTCGCCAGTAAGTCAGAGGTGTTTTGGGCATGTGGCTTTCTAGCAAGGTAAGGAGAAGTAGACAGGTACTGTTGACAGCATAACACTGAGCTAAAAGCTCATCCCTGTAAGTAGAATATTATTCTACTACTAGGTAGAAGGACATGACAAGTGAGAAAAAAATAATCCTGCCAATTCTTCTTAGGTTTTAAACCAGCTGGGAGCTGAAAATAACACTGCTGGGGCCCTCCTTAAAGAGGACAACCACCAGTCAAGTCAGGGAAAATTTAACAATATATAATGTCACTTCTGACAAGGAGATGAAGCCTTGGCTTAAAACTTAGACATTAAGAGCTTGCTTATTGCTTACAGATTAGTTCTGAAAATCAGGTTGTTCCAAATCCTGGCTGTGTCACAAGTATATTGCACATCCTTAAGAGAGTCACTTCACTCATATGTGCTTTGTCTGACAGAGAATCTAACCCAGTATTTTTTTTAAGCTAACACTCAGGTCAAAGTTGATCAAAATTAACAAATATCTATTTTAACTTCTCCTTAAAACTTAAAAGGCTAGAAAAAGAGACTGTCCCTCTGCCAGAAAAGTTGGAAAGAACTGGACTTTGTAAAGTTTTTTAATTCTTGGGGTGATGGAAGCACATTTTGGGTATCAGTTCTTTTATTGTGTTTTATATATTTTTACCTTATGACTGGATTTAAGCATCACGTATATCTTCAAAGCAAGATATTGCTGAACAGTACTCTAGTAAAAGGAGCAAAAGGCTCAAAAGAAAAGCACCAGCCTCAAGTTTATATCTTACAATTTTTTGTCCTAACCCCTTGTTAGTTTTTCAGTTCTGTGGACTACAGATGAATACACCAGTTATTACCTGTGATCACTTGTTATTTTTGTCCCTACTAACCACTGTGTACTGAAGATGAAACATCAGTAATTTTTTAAAAGTTTACAGAGACCATCTGCTTACAACCTGGAGAAGAGAAGGATATGCTGCTGTAAGGATTTCAATCAGCAATTCTCATGCTTAAACTGTGCTTTGAGTCAAACTTCTAGCTATGATTAACAAACCCATGCTGTAAATATACACTGCAGACTCCCTGGCAATTCCCTACCTTCTCCCTACTCTTCCAGGTACTGCAACACTCACAAGTGCCTGGGAGACTGTTTTCTCTTTCAAGGGAAGTTTTACAAGATTCTTTAAGTTCTCTTGCTCTAAACCTGGAGAAAAGCAACAACAAACAAAATGCCATAAAACAAAACAAACAAACAAAAAAACCAGAGAGGAGAGGAGAGGAGAGGAGAGGAGAGGAGAGGAGAGGAGATATCATAAAATGTTGATTTAATATCCTAAATGGGCCAGATGAATCGTGGGTGAGTTCTATTGCTGATCAGAAGTCCTTGCCTTATCAAAACAGGTACATACCGTCTTGGAAAGAAATGTTTCCATTTCAAGGAACAAGTGTATTCTGAGAAAAACATTCTTAAGAAATTTGCCAGCTGTATCTCTTCAACAACAGCTGTTCACCAGGCTATTCTTTCATCATGGTAGTGAGAGATTCAAAAAGATTTTTTTACTGAACAATTGAGGTAGAATATTACCCTACTTTATGTTTTAATAAGGGCAGAAAAACAAAATACTAGGGAAGAATGCTGTGATAAGAGTACCTTGTGAGTTGTGTTGGGAAGAAGTGCCTGCTGAGGGTGTTTTAGGAGTGCAGGAAGTTATCAGATATTGTAGCAGGCAGCAGCTCTTGGTAAGACTATGGAGTCAGACAGAAATGTTGCTACTAACACCATGCTTAAGAAGACAGCTTAAAATAATACTCAAGATAGTCTTTGTGGCATTTTGAAATCATGGCATTAAGCTCTGAATTATGGATGAACGCTGCTTTATTTCACTTTAATAAAGGTATCCTGCTTTTTCTCTCAGACTAGTATTAGACACAATAAAAAAGAAACATTCTTTCCAAGATTTAATATGCTATTTGAGTTCTCTTCTGTGATCAGAGTTTCCTATTCTCTTTCTGATTTTTTAGCTACAAATTAATGTAAAATCTTCACACATAAAAAAGAATTTGCAGTGGCACTTTTACTTATTTCTGGAAGAGTTTAGGACTCCTATATTTTATGTACTTATAATGAGACAGCATATGAATTCTATTGTTTTAATTTCATTATGGTGTGACAGATTTTTTTCAGGATACCTGGGACTACATGAACTTTCATTTTGATGACTGGACTTAAAAACAATGTCCTTTTTAGTGAACTAGGTAATTTGTTTCAGCTCAAAAAAAAAAAAAGAAAGAAAACATAAAGTAACTCTATGTTGGCTGTCTGAGAAGTCCTTTGGAAGTGCAAACCTGAATTAAAGGCCTGAGTCCAGGAATATTTGAATACTTTGTAGGACTATTCCAACAGAAGAGTTTAAGGGAGAACAATCTAAAAATATACTCTCCCAAATATTTGGTTCACAGGCCTATCTCCATGCATATAAAGAGAAGGAAGAAATCCTCCTTCCTTCGTCTCAGCTCTGTGACAAATATTTGGACAACTGGACCCTAAAAACTTTTACCTTAAAAAAAAAAAGTACTTCTTACTAGGAGCAATATGACATTTTTATCTTAAAAGTGAGCTTAAGATGTTGTTCTGCCATACAGACTCACCTTTACATGCTACAAGTATGTCTGTCAGAGAGGACTGCAGAAATCTCTGGGCAATTAAATCATTATGCATTTTAGCAGTAAAATTATGAATACAGATTTTAGCACTTCATTGAAACATCAATAAACATTCCTCCTCATTAGTAGCTCCTAATGTCCTTTCTTTGAAGTACCTTAAACTTTTATAAAAATCACAGGTTGGCACAATGACTTACAGAATCTTTGAAGTAAAACGGATCTGAAAAGTAATGCTGCTTTGCCTTCAGTGCAGAATTCAATGTAGAGTCCATTCTGCTCCTTCTACAGAACTCTCATACTTTTTGTATGGCTAAGAGAGAGAGACCAGGTTATAATTTAAAACTCACAGGACTGTCCCATGTGTTCATAAAATCCACTGTTGCTGCCTAAAGACAGGAGAAATAAAAATCTCTTGGTAGTGATTGTTCTTTCAGTACCAGTATTACCAACAGCCACATGATCTTCCTGACCAGTGGTTTAGCCAGAATTTGAATCCTGAAGCTACTCCTGCATTCGGCCATAGGCAGTGCCAGAGCATTACACGAGCAAGGCATTTCAGCTCCGTCATAATTTTACCCAGGGGACTGAATTCCAGAGGCACAGCAATACATGTGCAAAAACCTGCTAAATACAATATCTTAGGTAAAACCACAGGCAGAGAAACATAAGGTAGGCTTACACTGCTACCCCTTTGTACATAAGAAAATTTTGGCAGTGTTTTCTTCCAAATTTACCTTGAAATGAGATCATTCAAAGTGAATAGCATGCTAAATGGTGAGGAAATATTTATGCAAAGTGTTTTCATTCATCTAACTTCCATGAATAATATTCTGGAAATGCCTCTGTCCCTCTGTTTAGTGTAAACACCTAACTTTAGCCTACCTTAGGTTTCTAACAAGGATGTTATTCAAAACAACTATATTAGATTACATGAATATTTCCCATGGGGTCAAAATTCAAAAGACAACTTTAAAAAACGTTGGTTGCTAAGACTGTATATTCATCAAATGAATTTTAATTAGGTGGAGTAAGGCAAATTCTGTTTCGCAATGCAGTGTACAATCGTAAAATAAATCAGTGAATGAAAATATCCAAATGCAAACACAGGTTGATATAACTCAGAACATCCTAATTGCTCTTGGAAACAGGAGTCTCATAAAGTACATATAAACTGTGTCATCTTGACAAAGAGCACCCCGGATCCTGGAGTGTTCTACTGAGTTTAAGTTTATGCTAAAATAAAAAGGAACTAGTTTTAAAGGGCAGAACACACAGTTACATGTCTAAGTCCAGGCAAAGTCAACACCTGAGACAGTATATTACACTTAAATCTTGGGAAGATTTCCATAGCCTCTGAAAAGAGATAGGCAGAATTCAACCACTGATAGCTAAGTGTGGATTTGTAACCCATGTAAGACAATTCAAGTTGGTTCTTCTGCTATTCCTGAATTCCCACCACCTCATGACCATTACTTTTATTGTATCGTTCTTGAACTGGAATGAAGAAAATCACAAAGTTTTTACCTTTTTTTGTAGGATTATTTTCCCCTTTGTCTGAAGTAAAGAAAAGAATGAGTATGTGGAGGAAGGCAGGGGCATTGTAACATTAAATTACTTGTAAAGCTGAAGAGGAAAAACAGAAGTTGCAAATTGTAGCGACAGCTTACATTTAGAGATCAAAATTCGTATGCCTCTTCAGCCTAGTTCTCTCTTCAGAGGCACTATTAAGTATATTTTAGGTATACAAATTAGATACTAAGCAAACATAATATCTATTAGATATACTTGAAGCTTTCTGGCTATTTTAAGATAATACAGACACAGCTATGTAAATACTTGGAATTTAATCCTTAGAAATCCCTGTTTTCAACACTGACATATGGTGTTTGCTAAAATTCAAAGCAAATGTATTTTCCAAATCACTTAGACCCAAACCAATGGTGAAAAACAAAAAAAACCCCACCCCACAGTTATCAAAAATTTTCTTTTTGATTTTTTATCCTATTCTGCAAGGCAGGACAATACTCAAATGTACTACCTTACAAGACATCTCTGTCATAATAATTTAAGTTGAAAAGTATGTCCTCACTATTTTCAAAACAAGCATATTAATTTTCAGTTCAAACATCCTAAATTTTTTTCTTTCCATAATAATTTTAAAGGCATATTTCAAAGGGAAAAACAAAGCCCAAAATGCCAAAGAAATGTAAATAAATAGGTTTTTTTTTAATTCAAATCAATATTTTTGCTCCTCCACACTTTTCATTCAGAACTGCATGATCACCAGACCAAAAGAACAAACTCTTTTTCCACAAAAAAATCAACCTAAGGATATTTGCAGAGAATATCAGTGTTTCAAACAATGAACCACAGTTTAGACACTTCAGTGACAGACTGACAAAATTAGGACTATTCAGCCTGGAGAACAGAAGGTTGCATGGAGACCTCACAGCAATCTCCCAGTATCTGAAAGGGAAGCCAGAAGAGGACTCTTCTCCAGGAACTGTAGTGGTAGGACAAGGAGTAATGGGTACAAACTGAAAGAGGGAAAATTTAGGTTTTTAGGACAGACATTTAACAGACATTTATATGAATAATTTAGCTATTAGGAAGAAATTCTTTATTGAGAGGGTCCTGAGGCACTAGAAAAGTTGCCCAGAGAGCTTGTGGATGCTCCAAGCCTGGCAGTGTTCAAAGCCAGGCTGGATAAGGCCATGAGCAGCCTGGTCTAGTGGGAGGTCCCTGCTCATGGCAGGGGGACATTTGGACTGGATGATCTTTAAGGTGCCCTAACATTCTATGAATCTACAATTCTATGATTCTAGAAAGGCAACCAAATTTTATGGAGTTTTCTTAATGAAATAAATGGTCACAATTCTTCCTTCCCTGAAGAAAGTGTGTATGTTTAAGGTGACTGCTGTTTCAAGGGCCTCTGTTCTGCCTAATTTTAAACTTAAACTCCATTTAACATACCTTAGATGAAGCTCAGTTAAAGATAACTTTCTTATAATTTACTAGACAGCCTAGGAAATTTTTATTAATAATGACTAGGAATTAAATTTTACTGTTAAAACCATTACAGTGTATAAATAGAGTGTATTCACTGCTAACAAAATTGCAATGTAGCTCTTATAAGCAACTTATATTTTCAGAAAGAAGTGGGAAGAAAGTAAAAAAAAGTTTGTTCCTAGTTTATTGTGGTGTAACAGATTCTGAGTGATACCTGTTCTCTTTCCTGAAAGGCAGGCATTGGATTACAGCAATGGAGCAGAATCAACACAATCTGATGCTCCTTGAAAAACGAGTATAATAAGGATCTCTGGGAATACAGTTTTCATGAGTCACTTCCCGAAGGGACACTGCTGAAGGTGAGGTTCAGCAGCATCCACTGTGCATACACCAATATTTTCAGGGGGGGAATCAATCCCAGAGCCTGTTCTTATGCTGTGGTATTTCTTGGCCAGAAGAAACCACATAATACCCAGACTCACATATGGTTTTGTTTCCAGATCACAGAAGTTAAAATAACATTTAAAAAATACTTTGAAGGAAAACAAGTGAACTTCTAATGATAAACAACTTCTGTGAGACTGTCTATATTTGTACTGCTCAGTTCCATGTGCAGCTAGCAACAAAGGGCTTGAAGAGTCTGCAGTGTTCCACCGTCTCCCACTCTGCAAAGGTCACAGTGGGAACCCAGCTCTGCTCTGTGCCTCCACCAACACCTTAGCAAGGTTTTGGCTGCCCTCCTTCCCTCCACCCTTAGTCACCCTGCAGTCTGGGGATGCGTGATGTGGATGGAGAGAGACTGAGCTCATGCTAATGAACCCTCCTTATCATGCAGCCCTCATGCCTAATTCATCAGGCATTTTGGAGAGCCAGCAACTCATCAGCAGCTACATGGTGAATGTTTTAGCTCAAGGCTGGTCTGTGCTCTCTTTTGGTGCACCACCGTGGTTAAAGAGACTGAGTAGATAAGTACATGTTGATAGATGAATTGTTACCAACACCTCTCCTCAAGCACTACTTACTGGACTCATTTTGCAATATTAACAAAATTAAAGCAAAACAAAGTTAAAACAACAAAAAAATCAAAGAAAAAGAATGAAGAGGAGATTTGAATTATTTCCATGCCCTGAGTAAAATATTTTAGAAAAAATATATTATCTATCTATCTATCTATCTATCTATCTATCTATCTATCTATTTCAATGCATTTAAGACAATGAGAGATATCCTGAACCTTTTCTTACTTTTCTGAAAGGTTTTGAGTCCACAATCATTGTGACTGAATATGCAGATATCCAATGCCTTCTACCTAGCCTATTCTTCTATCTACCCAATATCGGCAGTTTGCTGTCTGCTATGCCTTCCTCTGGATTTCCTTGTAAAGAGACTCTCACCATCAGCAGCAGGCTGAGGGTGCTGCCAAACACAGGCACACGTGAGCAAATAGACACAGAAAGAGAACAAATTTTCCTGCAGTTTTCCTTCATTTACTGGTTTTAGACCTTGCACAGCACTATAGTGTAGTAGCCCTTGAATATTCACATTCAAATTTGTAGGTTTAAACTCCTCATTTGGTAATGCAGTCTTGTCTCAGGAATATAAAATTTTAGTAAGTGTTCATTGGAAGAATAAAAGATGTTAAAACAAAAATGGGCAATCTAATCTGACTGGTAGTGAAAACAATCTTTGCCTAGAAAGAGAAATAAAAATTGTACCAGTTGTACATCTTGTAGATTCTCCAATGACTCTTTAACTACTACTTTGAACTGCTACTCTTTGCAGTAGAAAGCTTTGGATTTACGTTTGGCTTTTGCAGTTCAGCAAAAGTCTTACTAAAAATAAGTAAATAGAACCCGGCCAAAGTCCGTAAAATAATACCCCTGTCCTGCAAGAAAAAGAGCCATCCCCAGCCATCACACTGCCACATGAACTTTACCTGTATGAATTGCATTAGGTGTTTGATTCATTACTTTTTCTTGAAATGGTCATATTCCTTAGCAGACTGATATATCCTTTGTTGCCATTGTGACTTTCTAGCACAGTATGCCCACAGCTTTTCTGGGGAGAAACTGAAGGATGCACATTTCTGTCATGGTGCAGAGCAACCTCTGCTGTTCATACTTTAGCTGTTTAGCACTGATGGACAAGGGAAGACTCAAGGTCAAAAATACTCCTAGCTTGCTGTCCCTCCTCAGCAGGAAAATGGATTTTTAAAGTGCTTATCCTCAGATGGACAGGATTTTTTGAACCTGCCAGTCCTGTTTGGGTATATAAGGCAGTTACACATAACCGTGTACATGTATGTATGATTTATGATTTCCTATATGAAAATATTTTAACACCTTTCTGGCCATGCAAAAATTTAAAGATTTTAGTTTACTAAAGCACCCAAAGACCAACCTTACAGAGAATCAGATTCCACTGCTGAGCCATGATCCAACTTGGGATTCTAAAGATGGATGACACGAGCAGGGATGTTCACTGTCCTTACAGAACATCACTCAGGCTACTTTGGGGTCTTGGTATCTAACCAGACCAGCCTATTATTTCCACTTATTGAGCAGTGCCTGACCTTTCACTGTGTCTGAAATCTACTGGGGAGGCATGCAGATTTAATTGATAGCTTTGCAAAGTTTCCCTGAAGTCAAAGGAACAAGACCGGGTTAGCTCTAGATGTCTGAAATAAAAACCAAAAATACATACTCATAGTCCTTTAAAAATGGAAGATTCATAGTCCAGTTTTCATTTTGAAGGGGTTCGGATTTAGGGCACTAAAAACCAAAGTGATTCTCAAATGACTATGTGTGCAAAATTAAATAACTGTTTTCTGACAGATTTTAATTGGAAACCTTTTTATTGTTCAGCAGGACCTAGTAACTACAGATGCATAAGAATTTTGTTTGTTGTCTTTGTTTGTTTCACTGCAAAGTTTACATTATGCTGTTTTGTCTGTAGTTTAAAAACTTTGCTCATAACTATAAATACAGGAATCTTCAGGAAGATGTTTTTGAAGAAGTACAAGAATATAAGGGCCTAAAAAGAAAGTCTTTAACTAGGTTTATAACTCAGAGGCCTCTCTCAATATGGTCTTTAAAACCTGAAATAACTTCATATAAATTTGTCTGCAGAACATCCAAGCAGAAGCACAACTGTTTGCAAAAGTTGAGGAAAAAGCATTTAAGTCTACTTGGCATCATTTCAGTTCTTTACAAATCTATTACATGAAAAAATCTTAGCTCCAGGGAGCTACACTATTGTACCTGAACTGGAAGGTCTGACCCAGATATGGATTGTACCTATTATGTAGAGACCATCAATTGACAAACATTTGAAAGCGTTCAGAGTACTAACACGAATAATATAAAAAAGAAATCCATCGGCAAGAAAACATATCATGAAACACCTGAGATGCAACAAAGAAGCTAGTGCTTGTTCATTGTGAACAGACATTTTCAAGTGGTTTACAGTTCTTACTTTGTTTTATAACAAGTTTAGTAGAATTTAAAAAACCTCAAAAAACCACCTGGCTTTCAGAAAAATGCTTCTTTTAAACAAAATCTGAAAAGTTATGCAATGATTCTGGGCATGCAATCTGGGAATTTGAGTACCAACAGCACTTACCAGAATTTAGGGGAGAGGAACAGGGTTTCTTTATTCTTTTTGAGTTGTGAGGGATTCAGCTTCAGTGGGTTTCAAACTATGATGCCCAGTGGAAACCAGATCTACAGGAAAATTGGACAGAGTGTCAGGGAGGTCTTGGAGTTGTCGACTAAGGAGGAAGAACCAATGTTTTCTTCTTTGATAATCAGATTTGGAAAATGAAGTTCAACTTGCAAGTGAAGTTGATTGATTTTTTTTTTACATGCGTAAACAAGAAATTCACATCATTACCAGAATCCACATGCCCTGATCCCCATGCCAAAATAAACCAGGTGATCTGCTTCATACATGGACCTATTGTTAGTGCTGCAATCTTTGTGCCTACTTTGAACTTCATGCATCACCCAGGGTCATACTAAAATGAAACATTCTTCTTCATTTCTTCAATTCAGGATGGAGCTAAATGATTTCTATAAAATTGTGTTTAACACCTAAAACATTCCAGATTTTTTGTTGTGGTGAATAAAGCAACTCAAGGTAAAAAAAAAAAAAAAAAAGAAAAAACCAAAAAAAAACCACCAACTTTTTGATGATACTAGAGCCATTCTTAAAAATAATAGAAGAAAATTAAATTTCAGGAACAAAATACCTGTGAATTTCCCCCCGTGTAGCATCCTTGGCTGCAGTCTAGATCAGAGCAAGAGCTGTGTGCTTTCTATGAGTGCAATATCAAGCACTACAAATGTTCAGCTTAGAACTGTCAAGCCACACATAAAATATTGATACCTCACATTGGCAGGGTTAATACAGTGTTATTTTAATTGCAAACACACTGTGGGTGATTAGTCAAACTTGGTGTGTCTTGAATTCTAAGATAAAAATGCCTTCTGGCTGGACCTTCTATGCAATTAGCACTATGACCCTCATGTGCTCTTCTCTGTTATTAATATGATTGGTCTAATATGAGTATTAGACATCATTCATTAACCTGTTGTGAACCATCTTAAAAACCATCTCTGAATAATAGACTACATTCCTTTTTCCAAATCCATTTAAAAGTAAGGAAAGGGAAAAGGATGAAGACAAGCTTTCCCCATTACATTGACTGGTACAGTGTTAAGCAATATGTACTGTATGAAATTATGAAAGAGCAAATTAAATAACAGGGCATATCGGGCTTATTAGTAATGGATGATCAGGTGCTTATTCTGTTGAATTTCCACCCTGTTCAGAAGATGAATGCACATGCCAGAACAGAAATATTTTAACTGACCCTGTCTGAATATAAACTAAATCACATCTGGAAGTCCACTGTTTTGCCAGCTTACTTTATGCTGAGTTTATTTATTTATTTTTCTTTTCTTCTATTTTTTTCTATTTCCTTTCCTTTCTCCTTTCCTTTCTCCTTTCCTTTCTCCTTTCCTTTC